CCCCCCGGTTGTCATACTATATCCTCCCTCCTTCTCGAAGGCTTCTGGGAGGGGGGCGACAGGGGATTTCAAGCAGACTTTCCTACAGCAAAATACTTGCTACTTAAGCCCCTGGGGACAAAAGGGGCTCCCTCCCCTGGATCCCCCAGTGAGTCAAGAGCTTGAGGCAAAAACTGCATACAGCAGTAAAGAGAAAGAGAAGAAAAACAATAAAAAAAAAAGTAAATTAAAGCAAATCTGGACGCAGGAATACAAGCAAAATCAAAAGGAAAAATCTGAGCCTAAAGCAAAATAAATAGCAACGCGCACCAGATTATCCGGTGGGATCATGCGTTTTTGCACTAGACTTGCAGATCGCTAGTAGCAAGAACGGCTCTGCACTGCAGCTTAATACTTAGACTCATATTGGCTGTGCTTTGGCCTCTTCTAGCGTGCAGGAGAAACGGCATCAGTTGGGATGAGGGTGTTGCATTGCAGGGCCGCATGAACCCCCAAGTACATGATTATCAGTTTTTTGCACAAAGCCCGGTCGTTTTTCCGGTAAATGCTCATTCTTTGAAAAAATACAAATTTCATAAAAATCGGAAGAGGATTATGAAGACATGTAAAAGGTACAGGGTTGAAACTTTGGGAACTTAACCTACATACACGTACGGGCACCAATCCCCAAAATAGGCGCTTTTACCCGAGTGGTACCACGTACGGGCCCGTGAAAGTTTTTTTCGGGTAAGTTGCTAACTCGGGAATTTGAGAAGCTAAAAGACTGGAATTTTGAAGGAATGTTTCTTGACAGTCCTGGCAGCCAGTTTGAAATCCTCTTAGCTAGAAGCATCAGCTGGAAAAAACCAGTGCCGTTAGCGAGAAAAATCTGCAGGGAGCTATGCAAAAAAAGCATCTTCGCAAGGGCAGCCCGTGCGTTGGCCAATTATTATGCGCTTTTTGCAACCATGCAATGCAGAAAACGCATATTGGCGAGAGATTGCCTGTGTGTGTTTGTGTCTTTGTGTGCGCTGGGCCTGTACGAGCGCTGCAACAGGCAGCA